GGGGGGGGGGGGAGAGGCGTTCCCAGGTTTGGTAGTTGGTACCTACCTAGACTACTATCCCTTTGTAGATTTTTTTTTGAGGTGGGGGTTTGCTGTACATACACACATACACGTCGTGCCCCTGTGCCAGCGAGTTTTTTTAATTTACCACGCAACGTGGTGCAGCGTGCCACGAGTTGCCTGCCGTGCAGGGGGATCATGTCCCTGTCCAACCCCTTATCCCATGGGTTGTTGAAGGACCTTGGCAAACTCTCGGAGTTGAAACAACGAGGACTGATTCTTGACCGTCACTTCGAGACGATAAAGGCACATGTGAAGGCGGGCAACTCCGTTGCGAAGGAGCGATGGGACGCAATCGAGAACGCATGGGGGCTGAAGCAGACGGGTGTCTTCAACGAAGAAGAGTGGATCACGCAGATTGATGGAGAGGCCCAGGGTATTACCAGCAGCACCCGTCCGTCGTTTTTAACGCCACAAGATGCGGGCGGCGCGCGAGGTGCACCGTCTTCGCACCCACCGCCTGCTACTGCTGCGGCTGCCGGGAAGAGAAAGGTCGCAGATCGGGGGAAGCAAGCCAGGGATCGAGCTGCCCAAGGTGTTCTAGGTGGCAACATCATCAACGCGTTCGCTCGTGGCAGCGGAAAACCGGTGAGTTCAGTCATCTGACGAACTCTGTTGCTGTGATGATGTACATATATATAGCAGTCTTACGGCGGTCCAGCAGCTGTATGTAGTGTAAATACAGCAGGAGTGCTACTGCTGCTGCTGTTGTTTAATAAAAAACGCGGTGGTGATGAAATGAAAAAGACGAGAGAAAAACTACTGTCACAGGTTGGTATAAACGACTGACTTTCAGCATGGCGTACATGTATTTGTACAACTTTTTCAAACATTCTCCGTTTGCCTCAAGTTCCTGAGGAAGGCAAGGACGGTACAGTAGACACAATGGCGAAAAAGAACGCGTACACGAGCGCCGTCCCAACCGTATTTTGTAATACCGTGCCCTCACTGTCCCATGACCTTCGTGAACGAGCAAGGACTTGGGATCCACGTGAAAACACAGCACAGCAATGCAAACATGTCCAACCGCTTGCGGCTGCAGCGGATGCTAGGGAAGATTCCCAAAGGGTATGTTCAGCCGTGGGAAGAAGCCGGGCCTGGACGTTGTTGGCACGTAAAGGTCGATGGTGCGACGGGGGCGGCTTCGTTCGTCCTCCAACGGAAGCGCTTCCGCGATCTCGACTTGGAAAGCGACGGCTTTACGGACCGCAAAGTCAAGGAGACTCGTGGAGCTGTGAAGCGCAAGCGATACGATTTCAGGTTCAAAGCCCATGTTGTGACCCAGCTGCGCCTCCTCCAGGAAGACGCCGCAGACCTCTTCAAGGAGGAGCAGCTCACGCCTCTCCAGTACTTAGAGGACCGTCTCAAGGTTAACTACAGCCTGATCGTGAAGTGGGCTCAGGACGAGGCCAATATAGTCCAATCGGCAGCAGATGACGTGAAGAAGACCCTCCTTGCCAAACAGCAGCCAAAGCGGTGGTTTCCTGAGGAAGAGAAGAAGCTGTACAATATGTTCTTGGCGCGGCGGAGGAGGAAGCTGAAGGTGTCGACCCTGTGGCTGACGGTCACGTTCCGGAAGCTCGTGCAAGAGAATCACCCTGAGGACCAACGGGCGGCGGCGTTCAGCGCGTCCTTCAGGTGGGCACGAAAATGGGCAAAGAGGCAAAAGCTGTCCATACGGCGAAGGAGCAGTCTGTTGAAGAGCGCCTATCAAAGATCCAGCGCTTCCACCGGCGGTTTCGCAAGCTCCTGCAAGAGCCGGTACGGTACAGGGCACCCGAGGCATCGGACGTGTCGGCGATGTCGACGGTCGCGGAGGGAGAGTCCAGAGATCCCAAGTACGGTCAGTTCCAGCTCTGGGAGCGTTGGAATGTGGAATAAGTGCCTTTGCCATTCGTGAATGGGCTGATCAGCACGTGGGAGAAGACAGGCGCGTTGCGTGTAGCCATCTCGCAGCCCTTTGCTGGCCTAGAGAAAAGGCAGTGCACCATGCAAGTCATCTTTGGTCCGGGTGAGAAGACTATGCGGATTTCGGTGATTTTCCGAGGCCAGGGGAAGCGGATTTCGCCGGTGGAGAAAGCCGCGTACCACAAGGACGTGGACGTGTTTTTCCAGGAGAATGCGTGGGCGGACCAAAAGTTCTGCTTGGAGTGGGCCAAGAGGTCGTACCGCGACGGCCTGATCCGCGGGCGGGGTGAGCTCCCCAAGGCGAGGTCCATTCTGATAATGGACAACTTGCACGCGCAGACCACGGACGAGTTCAAGGGGTATCTTGCGAAGCAGTGCAACACTATCGCCTGGCTTGGCCCTGCGGAGTGCACGGACGAGGTGCAGCCAGTTGATGCAGGAGCCGGACGATTTCTCAAGGTGGAAGTTGGTAACGAGATGGACCAGTGGCTCGATCAGTCGGACAACATTGAGAGGTAGGAAACCGCGTCGCTGACAGCTTCTGACCGGCGCGTACTGATCACTCAATGGACGGGAGCGGCCATGGCAAAACTCAACAGCAATCAGGGGTACCGACACCGCCT